GGCGCTACGATTTCGATTGATTGCGATTGATTTGATCGCCATCATCGCCATTTTCTATAAGTTGTCATCGCGTATTGTAGTCTAGATGTGTTATATTTGTTTTTCTGTGATTGTTTATTTATAATTATGTTTTGATGAATACTTTATTTCATTTATTATTAAGTTAAAATGTAATGTGTAATGTGCCAAATTGTGATTGAAAATATTGATTGATTGATTGACTCCACAAATAATAAAAAAATGCATCTCTTTCCGGCATCTAATTATCAGGTATGTATATAATGATGTATTATGCATATAATGAATACGTATAATGAAAATACTATTAAAATGTTATATATAAATATATATATATATATATATATATATATATAAATATATATTATGTATATATATTTGTGTAAATATATATTATATATATTTGTGTGTAAAAAGATGCTATAAATTTGAATGCAGAGGGCGAATAATCCTTTAATGGAAGACCTTACTCTTCGGTTTGTGGCACAAATCGAAGATAATTTGAAATCGAAACCAATTAGATGTGTCTCCTTTACGGCAACAACAGAATAGTTTTCAAGTCACTGAAGAATGCTGATACAGAACCAGAAGAACAATCTGCAACTCCAAGGACAAGGCCAAGTAATTTTAACTCTAAATACTTCAATACCATTTGCAAAAAAAACATTAATAAATGAATCTTATGTTCTTAGTTAGGAGATGAAAGCCTAAAAACATTGAAAAAGATTTTTCCAGTACCCCTAAGATAGTCAAGTGCAGGTTAAAAGTCACCTATTCTGACACCAGTTTTCCGCAAAGGTATTTTTTCATAATAATTGCAGCAAAAATAATTAATTAATCAAATATGATATAACAATATGTTCAATAGTCTTTGGTGGTAGCAGAATGCAGGTGATAAGGCGTAGGAGTGCCTTAACACCCAGAAGATGTATGATACATCAAATTTTGTTTCCGGATTAAAAAGGATTAACAAACAATGCAATAATTTAAAGTATAAATTATAACAGATTATTCAATGTTCTGAGAAGTTTTCAAATATTCCAGAAACGTAAAATGTAAGGGCAAGAATTTTGATACTGTCTCAATTAACAGAACATACTTAAAGACCAGGCAGTTTATAAAAAGCGAGGGTTTAGTTATAGTTTTAACTAAACCTCCTTGCAATAAAAACTGGATTAAAACGATAGATAGGTTTGAGCTACAATTGGTATAAATTAAAAGTAGTTCAGCGCTTTGATTACTTACGTTTAAAAAAGCACTTATACAGAAACTATTCAAAGATTTCATCAAATGTAACTTTATGAATGATTGATTAGATAGCATAATAACTATTAAATGGAGAGATAATAAAGAAGAATGTCTAGTAAATGAATTTTAATCCTAGGAATTTAGTTTTATCTCAATTTGGATATCAATATATTTATTTTTCGTTTTTAGGATTATTTTGTTTGGGAAGCATTTGTTCTTTATTAAAAATTTGCTGTTCTTTTTATCCTATTAAATTTGCATATTTGTCATTCCTTGTAAATTTGTCATTCTATCGTCAATACTCCTACGCTTTTCACTTCTTAGTTTTTAAGGGGGTCTTCCTATGTGATGGGTTGAAAAAATCGATTTTTTTTCATAAATTGCTCCCTCAACATGTCTAGAATACGGTAGTAAAGCGATTTTAGAAAATTCAAAGTCGTTTTAAAGATACAGCAGGTAAAAGAAAGAGCGGTTCGGAGCGCTGAGTTGGCACTTCCGAACTTTAAACGCGTTTTTCTCAAAACTGTGTTTTTCAAACTTTCCTCCATTGTATCTCAGAAATTCACAGGGCAAATCAAAAATCCATTTTTTTTATATTCATTTGACTATAGGTCATTCCGTGCTCTTAAGCCTACAAATTAAAACGCCGTTTATTTATTTTTTTCAGATAAGCCGATCAGCCGGAATCGTGGAGGAAGTGGGAGCTCTTTTTTCGAGGCGGGGGTGTTTAGAGCGCTGTAACTCTAGTTTGACTGCATATTTTTAGCTGAAATTTTATATTTATACTGTCCAAATATGTGTTAATAAATGATAAAAAACTTGAAGATCTAAATATTCACTGGTCGTAGAAAAAAAATTCTAAAATATCCCTAAAAAACAGGCCGTCACATAGGAAGACCCCCTTAAGTTTTTAATATTAGTCATTAAATAATTAATATTAATAAGTTATTTCTTTTTAATTTGTAGTACTTTAAAAATATGTCTGTAATATACTTTAATTAATAGTAGTCAGTTATTTCTGTTTAGTTTATAATTCTTCAAAAGTATGTCTGTAATATATTTGAAAATATATTTTGTATTTCGTATGCTTTGTTCTTATTTTTGTTACTAGTGTTAACTATCTCTAATCGTCTCTATATTAAAACACAATGTTTATAACAATTACTTTATTCACTATAACTACACTAAGTTCTCTATATATGTTCTCTACTCTAAGGCTACACTACGACTCTGTCGCCTACAATCATCCTCCATAGTATTCCTATATAGATCCACGCAATCATTCGTACCAACATTCATACATCACAACAGCGCCATCTATCATAGTTATCACTAGTTATTTCAAATATTAAATTTTTTTCAGATTTTTTGGCTGTATTGATTTTATGTATAAATGTAGAAGTAATACCAGGGGTTAATTTACATACTGTATATACATGTGCTGCCATGTTGTGATTAATTCGTAAATTAAAATGAATGTAATGTCAAATCGCCCGAGATAGCGATCTATTTATGCTTATTTATCTATGGCACAATCATTCAAGTCGGCAAGTGCATTCGTCGATCGCGTGTGGCAGCACATGTCCCGTTTTTATTTTACTTTGTAGCTAAGTCATAATTCAAGTTTATGAAGTTATCGATAATTAAAAGTTATTAAGTAAGCCCTCCGAACACTTTGAATTCTCTTCTGATGCTGTAAATATATAAATTAATAAAAAAGATATATTTTTAGGTTATGTCTTGACGTCTCTTAGTTTTCATTTCTCTCTTCTCTTAGTCATTTTTGATATGCTTGCGCAAATACTTGAGCATAAACTTGGGCCCATAGATAAATAAGCATAAATAGATCGCTATCTCGGGCCATTTGACGTTACACTCATTTTAATTTACGAATAGATCACTACATGGAAGCACATGTACATACAGTATGTAAATTAACCCCTGGTATTACTTCTACATTTGTACATCAAATCAATACAGCCCAAAAATCTGAAAAAAATTATTATTTGAAATAAGAACAAAACATACGAAATACAAAATATATTTTCAAATATATCACAGACATATTTTTGAAGAATTATAAACTAAACAGAAATAACTGACTACTATTAATTAAAGTATATTACAGACATATTTTTAAAGTACTTATTCTATTAATATTCTAGAAATAACTTATTCATATTAATTACTTAATGACTAATAATAATATATTAAAAACTTAAAAACTAAGAAGTAAAAAGTGCAGGAGTATTGATGATGTAATGACAAATTTAGAAGGAATGACAAGTAATGCAATAATTTAAAAGGATAAAAAGAACAGCACATTTTTAAAAAAGAATGAATACTTTCCAAACAAAATAATCCTAAAAACAAAACATATATATATTGATATCCAAATTGAGATAAAACTAAATTCCTAGGATTAAAATTCATTTACGAGACATTCTTGTTTATTATCTCTCCATTTAATAGTTATTTTGCTATCTAATCAATCATTAATAAAGTTATATTTGACGAAATCTTTGAATAGTTTCTGTATAAGTGTTTTTAAACGTAAGTAACCAAAACCCTGAACTACTTTTAATTTATACCAATTGTAGCTCAAATCTATCTATCGTTTTAATCCAGTTTTTATTGCAAGGAGGTTTAGTTAAAACTATAACTAAACCCTTGCGCTTTATAAACTGTCTGGTCTTTGAGTATGCTCTCTTAATTGAGACATTATCAAAATTCTTGACCTTACATTTTAAGTTTCCGGAATATTTGAAAACTTCTCAGAACATTGTATACTCTGTTGGAATTTATCCTTTAAATTATTGCATTGCATTTTAATCCCGAAACAAAATTTGATGTATCATACATCTTCTGGGTGTTAAGGCACTCCTACGCCTAATCATTGCATTCTGCGGCAATTTGCAGCTACCATCAAGGACTTCTATTGAATATATTGTTATATCATATTAATTGAAGATATTGTAATTATCATATTAAATATTTTTGCTGCAATTAGTATGAAAAAATACCTTTTCGGAAAACTGGTGTCAGAATAGGTGACTTTTAACCTGCACTTCACAATCTTAGAGGTGCTGCAAAAATCTTTTTCAAGGTGTTTAGGCTTCCATCTCCTAAGAACATAAGATTCATTTATTAATTTTTTTTTGCAAATGTTATTGAAGTATTTAGAGTTATAATTACTTGGCTTTGTCCTTGGAGTTGCAGATTGTTCTTCTGGTTCTGTATCAGAGCATTCTCCAGTGACTTGAAAACTATTTTGTTATTGCCATAAAGGAGACACTTCTATTTGGTTTCGATTTCAAATTATCGTTGATTTGTGCCACAAACCGAAGAGTTAGGTCATCCATTAAAAGATTATTCGCCCTCTGCATCCAAATTGAAAGCATCTTTTTACACACAAATTTTTACACACAAATATATATATAATATATATTTACACAAATATATATATATATATATAACATTTTAATAGTATTGTGATGATACATATTCATTATATGCATAATACATAATTATATAAGTACATACCTGATAACTAGATGCCGGAAAAACATGCATTTTTTTATTATATTTGGGGTTATAACAATTTGGCACATAACACTTTATCATTTTAACTTAATAATAAATGAAAAAAGTATTCACCAAAACATAATTATATATAAACAATCACAGAAAATCTCAACTACAATACGCGATGACAATTTGACAACTTATAGAAGATGGCCGATCAAATCAATGTAGATCAACAAGCCAGCTGCTAGATCAATGAAATTGGAAATCGTAGCGCCATCCTTCGAACTATTCAAATACCATTCCATTTCAAAACACGGTAATCTTCATTTGTTCGGAGATTAAAAAGCGTGTCCCTCTCGCATTGTAGCAACAGTTAACAATGATGGTCATGTGGTTGTTGACTATTGGAAGACGCATTTGGGACACCAAAAGCTTGCTAAATATATTCGGATGGATAAAAAATTACGGAGACATATCAAAGGTATTTTATATATATATAAATATATATATATATATATCCCAGTAAACCACAGAAGTTACCACCACGTAACACATTTTGTAACTTTCGTTTCGAAACTGATGTTAAGTAAACGAACCGATGCTGTTACGTATAGTTGTGAGCTTTAACCACCGTCGACGCGTTTAAACGTTTACAATACTGCTTTGTTCGCATCTGTCGGTACGTGGCGTGGTACGTTGCACGGTCACATAGATTCGCCTTTGAGAATAGCCGTGAAGTGTTTTATGATCGAAATGTCAAATTAAATATAGGTTAACTCGGTCAGTGCATCGTGGACGCATAATTGAGTATTTTATCGTGTATGTTTGAAATGCAAGATATTTCCTTTATTGAAGCGTTATTTATTAATTGCTTTTATATTTAGTGCGAAATCAGTTGTAGAAATTAGTTAAACAGTCAGCTGGAAAAGTATTTAATATGAAACCGACAAACAAGGTGAGTCTAATTGTACTGAAATATATTTTAATTTATAAGTTATTATAATAATGTTTAGTCCTTTGCAGTATATAGGCCGCCTTCAATGCAAAGTCTGTTCATGTATTGTGATAATTGATTTGTCATGTAATAATTGAAATTTCTAACACACCAGTCAGAAACATAACCTCAATTCAGTGATATATGAATAAAGAGAAGTAAGTTATATAGTTTTATACATATTCATTTTTTATAGTTCCATTAGTATCAGAACTATTTAGCTAAGCACAAATTGATATAAGTTGGTTTTCAATTGTAGAGAAAATTATAGTGCTGATAACCCCTACGAAAATGGATTTCAAGCTAGGGAAATTTTCTCCAATAGAGAAGATAAATACAAAGTTAGATAATATATTAGAAATTATTAATCCTTTGTCACCAAAAAAAAAACAAGTAAGGCTTAAAAACATGCAAGAAGAAAAATAAGAACACATATCGATAAATAAGAACACATATTAAGATTAAGTGTTGAAAAGAAAATGAATTGTGGAGTATTTCTTAAGTGATGATATTGTATTACAGAATAGGTATATTAATGTTTTACACAAAGAGAATTTTAACTAATATGATTTAGTACTAATTTGTAATGTTTTACTTTTAGGAAATTCACATATTTAATACGAAACCAGCAAAGGTGAGTATAATTGTACTGTTTTTTTTTTTAATTTACAAATTATTGTATTAATGACTAATTAGTTATTTTCAGTATATAGGTCATGTGCAATGCAAATTCTGTTTATGTATTGTGATAATTGATTTATCACATAATTATTGAAATTTCTGACAGACCAGTCAAAAATCACATAACCTCAATTCAGTGATATGATATGAATATTATAGGTAGATAAGTGTAATATATATGGTATCATACATATTCTTTATAATTTCATTAGTATCAGAACTCTCAGTTAAGCAAAAACTGATATAAATTGCTTTTCAATTGTAGAGAAAGAGTGCTCATAACCCCTATGGGTTATGTCAAAATGGAATTCAAACTAGGGAAATTTGCTCTAATCAAGGAGATAAATTGTCACCAAAGAAACAAGCAAGACTTAAAAACATTCAAGAAGGAAAACAAAGAATGCACCGGATATCACACATTATATGGATTAAGTGTTGAAGAGAACATGAATTGTTGAGTATTTCGAGCCTGATGATCTTGCATTACAGAATTTTAACTAATATGATTTAGTACTAATTTGTAGTGTTTTACTTTTAGGTAATTCAGATCTTGAAAATTAATAGGATAAAATCAATGCAAGAAAATTGAGTGTGTGTTTATGGAATAATTATCTCTGTCATATGATCGTAGGAACTACATAGTCATTAACTTCAAATAATGAGTATGCTTAGAGGTAATGTTCACAAATGACTAATTTGTTCACAATGTTTTCAATTCAAAATTTGTGTACAATGTTTCTAAGATGTTTGGTTCTATTTTAGATACATTAACAGATGCAAGTGAGTTGAACATATTTAACGCAAGACTTAACTTTGCCAAGTCTGATTTAACTGAAATTGCCAAGAGAGTTAAACATAATACATATTATGAATAAATAAATAATTATTTTTATAGGCTAACATTTTATGGACTATCAAATTTTAGTTTTCTAATGTTAACTATGTAATATGTAAATTTTGTATATTGTAAATGATAATATTTAATAAAATTACTAAATATCCGAAATTATTATTAATATTCTATATTTGCAGGAAATTTAATTAAATAAGTATGTAACATAAAAGACACCTACACGCTTTTTTATTCAATTTAGATACGTAGCAAAAATGTAACCGCGGTGTATTAGTGTGCAACGAAACAGCCGTTACGTTCTTGCCCGCGAAATAGATACTTCTGTGTGCCTCCCAGGTTACGTACCTGATTCGTGCGGACGTGCCAGCGTTACGTAACGTTCATGGCTTTGTTACGTTTTGTGGTTTACTGGGATATATATATATATATATTATATGTGTGTGTGTGTTTATTTATTATATAAGAAATATAATATTTACATATATAAGTAATATAATATTTACAGATAACCTTATAATTGGAGTATAGGACGATGTAATCATTGGTAATATACATGAGGCATCATATAGTAATAAATTACCACTGAGGGCTTCTTTAGTCTCCAGCAAAGATTTGTGGAACCTAAAAAAAAAATATTTAAAACCGTATCGGACGTACAGACACCCAATTGATTCTATCAGTGTGAACCTTTGGGTAGAGGAGAACAGACGAAAGAAGAAATTCACAATATTGTTTCATAAAAATATCGATACTGTTCATTATGGGCTTAGAGAGGATGATTACATATTAATAATAATGACTAAAAAGCAGGCGGAAATGTTACAGGAATTTGGCTCAGACAGAATTTGCGTTGATGCCACCCACGGAACAAATTGCTACAATTACCAGTTACATACGTTAATGGTAATTGATGAATTTGGAAGTGGGGTTCCTGTAGCTTTCTTTTTTGCAAATAGACAAGACGAAGTAACGTGTAGAATATTTTTTGAAGAAATATCTAAGGCAGTCGGTAAAATAAATACAAAATCATTCATGACAGATGACTGCCCAGCATATTTCAATGCTTGGTCATCTGTCATGGGTGCTCCACAACATAAGCTATTATGCTCTTGGCACGTGTCAAGGAGTTGGAAGAGGGCAGCAGCTGCAAAGATTGTTAATAAAGAAAAGGGAGATTTAATTTATGAGAAATTGCTAACTTTAAAAATGATTTTAGATGAGAGGGAATTTAGGAGTAGTTTAAATAATTTTTTGGGTGAACTTGAGGGAGATGATGATACAAAATCATTTGTAACATATTTTAGGAAAGCTTACTGCTACCGTGAAACTACATGGGCATATTGCTTTAGGATAGGATTAGGGATAAACACTAACATGTTTTTAGAAAGCCATCATAATCAAATGAAGAAACGAGTTATGAGAAGAAAGTGCAGTAAAAGAATGGATAAGGCGATTGACATAGTATTAAAGACTGAAATGGAAGCTTTTATTTTCAGAAATAAAAGAATAAATGGAGTTTGTATATCAACAAGACAGAGGGAGTCAATAAAAAGGCATAAGAGAAGCGAAGATATAAATCAAGTACAAATTATTTCAGATAAAAAGTGGAGTGTATCATCATATGTGGTTACACAAGCTAAGCAAACATGTAACAGTATTTGTATGAGATGCGAAACGTGCAAGATTTGCTTTCATACATATTCTTGCACTTGTGTAGACTATTTAATTAGGTCAATTATTTGTCAGCACATCCACGCATGTGTAACATTTTTTCCGTCTGACACTGGCTTTAAGCGTGATTTGTTAGAAAGAGACATGGTGCAGAAATATGAACTTTTGAGATGTTCAGATGATTCAAGTACTAATATATTAATTAATAATAGCACTGCAGATATTAAAGAAACCAAAGCCACAGCAGAAAATTTATTTTTCCAGATTCATAATGTAATGTTTAATATAGGATATGATGAGAGTTTAGCTGGAACATTGGAGAAAAATTTTGAACATGTTCTTCAGCTAATAGCTCCAAAAGAAAATAGTACAGTAAATATAAATATAAAAATGGATTGCCAAAGAAGGAAAAAAAAGACTGGAATGTGGTAAGTTAAATATTTTTCACTATGATTATTTATATTTAGACTTGTATTATTGTTTCATATTTATGTATCAATATCTTATTTTATTTGCAGATATGAAGGGTTCAAATACTATTCATGTACACATACTAGCACCTTTTTGAGACAACCTGTTACTGCATACAGTGCGTATGTAGGTATGTACACTATTTTTAATACTTAGGAAATTGGTTCACATGTATATGCTCTCATTTCACATATATATGCTTTCATTTCATACTCTTTTATCTACTAAGGGTGCATTCGACTTGGACGCTTACGCGCTGTGAGCGCTCACGCTTATAAGCACGAATTTTTAGCGTTCGACTTGGCCGATAAGCGCTCAGAATCGATAACTAAATTCCGTTCGTTTTGGAAACTGTGAGCGTCAATAAGCATCAAAATGGCGGCAACTGGCGGTAACGGTAATTGTGTAAATTTTATTACTTTCTGGATCAATCAGCGGGATTATAAAGAATTTAACAATTAATAAATAAATTAAATTTGGTTAGCTTATGCTTAATTAATAGTAATATTAAAATTAAAATTTAAAATGATTTAAAATTAATTGAATTTAAAATTAATTAAATTAATATTAATATTAATACTAAAAAATAAATGTGATATACAACTTGGCATTTTTGCGGGATTATAAAGAATTTAACAATTAATAAATGAATGAAATTTGGTTGGCTTATGCTTAATTAATAGTAATATTAAAATTAAAATTTAAAATTAATTAAATTTAAAATTAATCAATATTAATATTAATATTAAAATTGAAAGATGTATGAAGAAGGGACATACTAAAAGTTAATTGGAATAATCATTATCTCACCTCATCATTGGCATCACAATATTCAATGTTCATTCATTCAACTTTTCTTCATTATATAATATAATATAACATTATTTTATATATTCCTCATACTCCTCATGTGTGCATTCTTTGTATTTAATATAGTGTTCATGATATGTATGTTATCTGTATTATTTTCATTTTTCAAGCTGTTTGGATTTATATAATAAATATTGTTATTCACTCCTAATGTGTGCATACTTTGTATTTAATATAGTGTTTATGATATGTATGTTATTTGTATTATTTTCATTTTTCAAGCTGTTTGGATTTATTTAATAAATATTATTCTGTTCTTCATTCTATAAACTTCATTCCGTTTTCTTCATGCTTTAACTATTGTCTATTATGGAAATAATAGGTTGTTAATTGTAAAATATTATAAAAAATTGTAAATAATTATTTATTGCATATAATATGGTATATTTTATTTTAATAAAGATTTTACATCAACTATGGTTTTTCACTCTTTTCGTTGCTGCAGTGTAGAAACCTATTTTTCAGGTGACTTGTGAAACTTAAACTACAGTAGAATCCGCTTAGTATGACATCGAAGCATCTATCGAACTATGTTCAGAAAAACTTACATACATACGTACATAATTCCTAATTATATAAATATTATATTTATTATTATTTTTTAAACATTTGGTGCTATTGTGCACAAAAGACATAGCAATTGCTTTCGTAGACTTGGCCACATCATGTAAAATCATGTCGGTCATTATAATTGGACATATTTTTTTGCAAAAATGGGTCATTATAAGCGACATGTCAATGCAAGCGATGTCAATATATCCGACTAGACAGCTGTTTTTTTAAGGAATTTTATATGGAAACCAAATTCCTAGTGCGATTACGTCATATTAAGCGGTTGTCAATATATCCGGCGTCATACTAATCGGATTCTACTGTATGTGTTATAAAAGATATTTTTAGCTCAAAACTAAGTCTATTTATTCCAAAAACTCTAAATGCTATAAAAACGAACTAAATAAAATATTTCCATTTATACCGCTTTTCAACATTTTAAGATCGATTGAAAAATCCAAATATTAACCAGTTATACGTCACAATAGTAAGGTTGACAGCAACATTCCTTCATCTTACAAGTTAGGGTTTTTATGTTTTCGTTGTTGGTTTACCTGCATTTATATTTACACTTTTGGTTTTATGTTTTAATGTTGGCAACGCTGACTGAATGATTTTATGTGCCTGTCACTCTCACTGCGAGGAGGGTCGTGTGGTCTTTCGTGCTTTTGTTTTATCGTGATTAATCTTTTGGATATTGCTTGGATTGCATATTCTATTTCTATTCCTTTATTATTTATTTGAATAATTGTTAATAAAAACTGCTAGTTACAAATTTACAATCAGTAGAAACCTGTTATAAAATAAAGTGCAAATTTATTGATGTGAACCATTCATATTTTTTAAAGTTATAGTTTACAGCTGCTTTAAAATTTGACAATTTTCTGTTTTCTAAACATAAGATATGAATCATTTCACACATATGCAAAAATAGATTCTATATATATTTTACACATTTCGAAAATATGCTCGTTTTCATTATGAATATCTATTTTATTAATTGCTGGTGAAAAATGAAATTACACCGAAGCTTCATGGAACAACTTGAAACATTATGTTGAACAAAAATTTTTTTGTGAGATAATTATTCACATCAGTTAGCAGATCATAATTGAACATAAGTTGAAAAATGTCAGCTGAAACAAAGTTGGGAAGTTCATCACAAGAGCAGACATTTGTATTTTTAGAGCCAAAATCATCTTTTTACAAGCAACATAATCGCTCTATAAGCTATGGAGAAACCTCTTATTTTGGTACAAGTTCTGCAACAAGTCGCCCATCAGCTTTAAAATTGCCAAACTGTAAAGAGCACAAAAGAGCATTTTCACATGGACAAATATCTGGTGAAAGTGTATCTCATAAATCTGGTCATCAGAGAATAAGTTCTAAGACTGACTTTATATTGCCGCCAGGTCATAAAGACACATCAGAATTTCATCATGGCTCTACTATTTTTCGTGGACACTCTAGACAAGCTTCACATTCTGAATCAATATACACATTACGTAGAACTGAAGTGCGCGCACCTTGGAAAAGATTATTTAATTTTTTATGGTGTTGCAGAAAAAAAGATAGCAGGGAAGATATAAGAGTAAGAACTATAGTACCAAATCATTTAGTTTCTCCTAAAATATTGCACAATGTACATCCAAGTGGTAAAAGCCCCGACAATAAAGTGCGAACAACAAAGTACACAATTTTATCATTTTTACCTAAAAACTTGCTTGAACAATTTCATCGAGTAGCTAACATATATTTTATATTTATTGTTCTGTTAAACTGGTTTCCGGCAATTAATGCATTTGGCAAGGAAGTTGCCATGATTCCTGTAGTGTTTGTTTTGGCAGTAACAGCTATAAAAGATCTTTTTGAGGACAGACGCAGAAGAATATCTGATCATAGAATAAACAACTCTACATGTCGAATATATAAAAGGTAGTAATCTATGTATATTTTATATCTACTTGATTTTGTTTTTAAATGTAACTTGCAGTAATTCTATTTGCTTACTGTCTAATAATATAACTAATACATTTACACAATATGGGAACAAAAAGTAGTATATAAATTTTGTACTTCAATAATCTAATTAATTTAACTACATTTATAATATCAAATTAGTATTTTAAGTTAGTGGGACAACTCATTCATCAAATTATTTCATAAATTTTATTTGTGAATTAATGATGTAAAACATATTTATTTTACTTAAAAGTAGCATGTACAGCTTCATTATTATGTATCACATATTTGGGCATGAACTGACATTTTCAACTAGCCTTTGTAAAGGTCAATTCCTAAAACTTGCCTTTTCTAATAAACAGTTTATAAATAACTGTTAAATGACCTAGGGTCTTTCATGGCGTATTGTGTTAATGCGTTGACTTTGTGTGGACCCGAGTTTGAACTTGCGCTCTGGAAGACTTTTTATCGTGCAGTAGCAATGTCCATTTTCACTTGAAAATATCGATCAAAATATGTTTTCAATTGAAAATAAGTTCATTTTGGTCACTTTGGTGTGAAATTGAAATGGAAAACCTTTTGCACCATTTTTTCCTGAATCGAGTTGGAGTTTAACTCAGCTCACGAACTTGCCCTAGGGCAGTACTGCTCATTATTAAACTAGGATCTACTGATCTAGGATCACTGATCACTACTAATAATTTAAATATTTTTAAATAGATTATTTCAAATATTATACATTTTATCATTCATATTTTATATTGTGACTACCTATCAAACAAAACACTTGTTACACAAACATATATGTTGATGATAAATGATATATATATATATATATATATATATATATATATATATATATATATATATATATATATATATATATATATATATATTGTAGAGTTTCGAACAAGAATCCAAAAATAATAAAAAATAAAAAAACAAGAAAAGTTTTTAATAAACAATTTCTTTATTTAATTATTTGTTTACTGTCGACGTTTCGGAACTAGGTACGTTCCATCTTCAGGACATCTGTCAAGAAACATGATCTTGATGAGATTTTAGCAAACAATATGTTTAGGAAAAGAAAATAGATTTTTCTTAAATAATAAATTAATTGCAAAAAAATATAATAATGTACAGAAATATGATAATATGATCAAAATGAAAATGATAAAAATAAAAATAAATGAGTGGATTATCAGAACAGGATATTAAACATAATAGAAAATTTTTTGAAAGTTATGGAAATTTTTTTTAAGAAAAGGTTAATGACAAAGTTGAATTAATTACCTGTATGTTTGAATATATGTTAGCACTTTTTCACTAAACAAGCTTTTTAACAAAAAATGAATTTGTGAGTTAATTTTCCGCCGAATAATTAGATTTTGTAAATCAAAATTACTAAAAGATTTGTCTTTTTTTTAAAAATTATTATTTGAAAACACAAATAATATTGTTCTCTAGATGTTGTGCGATTGGCTTTTGAAAACTAACTAATTGAATCTGGTGTGTCATTTGTAACACGTGTAAACACTTGAACGAGAGCTGTGAGATTGTATGTGTGTGTTTTTATATGTTAGGGTGTGAATACTTAAATTGTTGATCTTAAAAGGAAGTCGATATTAATTGTTTGTCAAAAAGTGTAAAAAATTTAAATATGAATCATGTAATAGGTTGTGATCTGATCTAATGTTGACACTGTTAGAAACATTCATAAAAATAAGACAACTCTCCGCGAATAATCTCCTAAAGATGCAACTTTCATGATATAAGATCTTTGGAGTGAAATTAAATGAATGGGCGTTTTCAATAGAGTGTTGTACTAGGGTACTTTTGAAATTTTTTTGTTTGTGATGGACCACACTTAGTTCATGTTGTCTCATTCTTTTGTGTACATATTGCGAGGTTTGTCCAATATATTGAAAAGCACAGTCATTACAAGAAACAGAATATACTACATTAGTATTGAAATTGGATGGGGTAGGGGATTTAATGTTCGTAAAGAATTGGTTGAAGGAGTGTAAGGATGAGCCTGATACTAAAATGTTTTCTTCTAACAGGATTTTGGCAAAATAATAATATAAATCTTCAACGTAAGGAATGCTGCAGTAAATAAAATTGGCGTTTTTGATGTTGGTAGTGGTATTGGGAGAATTAATTTGTGTTTTTAAAAAAGTTCGTCTTTTTTGAATAACTGAAAGAATAAGATTTTTTGGGTAACCATTTTCAATTAGAGTTGTTTTTACCAGGGATAAATTTTGTGGATGGAAAGTTTGGTGAGACAACAAGATAGCATGGTCTGTAAGGGAAATAATAGTGTTTATCTTATAGTTTCTGGGACAGTATGATGAAAAGTGTAAGTATCTACCCGACCATGTAGTTTTTCTATACCAATTTGTTCGAATAAGGTTGTTAGTATTGTAAACGGATACATCCAAAAAATTAAGTCTGTTCTTATTTTGTAGTTCATGTGTGAAAGTTATATTATTGTTAAAGTTATTGAAAAGGTCTAGTACTGTGTTTATATGATTTTTGTTAATGATAAAAAAAGTGTCATCTACATATCTAATATAAAAGTTAATTTGAAATTTTAAAGTTGAGAAAACGGAAATTTCTAATGTCTGTAAAACTAAGTCTATAATTCCGGGAGATAAGGGACATCCCATAGCTGCGCCTTTAATTTGAGAATAAAAGTTGTCTTGGCAATGGAAATATGAGTAATTTAAAATAGTGGCAATGGAAATATGAGTAAAATAAAATATACACAAATCCAAGATTCTACCATTCATATATATATATATATATATATATATATATATATATATATATATATATGTTTTTTAGGGTGTTGCTTGAATTGAATTTTGCTTTTCGAAGGACCGATTGTAAATACTTTGATTTTGTAACTAGTAATATTTATTTTACTTTAATTACATAAATTACATCGTATTTATAATAATTTAATATGGTTTTATTACGTGTTGAATGATTTGAGTTTAATCTTATAATAAATCAATTGATGATTTTTTGTTTTCTATTTCGCATATACGCGCATGCTTTGATTGGCGCGAACATACTCCCGGGCTTGAAATATAGATTTCAAAATATTTGGTAATCTTCGTGAATGTGAATTAAGTTGTTGTTAATGGTTTTGGTAACACACATATTCTGTGAACAGCACGCTTAAGTATACCACCCTTTGTTTTAATTGTTACCACACGCACAATTCCATCGTCTCCTGGGTGCGTTTCAATTATATCTGTCAAAATTTTAAAGGGAAAATAATATTTAATAAACCTCTCAGTTCCTCGATTCGATTGTCATTTGTTTTTCAGTGAAGTGTCAGTGTTTTTGTGTAATAAGTATTAAGTCCGGAATTGATTCTAAATCTTGCCTTTTTAAAGGCACCGTGCTTAATACTTACAAGTTAGATATATATTATTATATCTGTCCAAATTTTAAAGGTGAACGTGGTAAACATTAAAATCAGTGCGGAAGAATCCGAAGAAAACAGAGATTTTCCCAGGCGGGGGCCTAGGAAATAATACAAGATGTCGAAAAATCATGAAATGGAAGTGCAGACAAGCGGCGCACTGAAAAATAAATATAATGCTTTATCAGATAGAACAGACATGGACTCCGATAGGGAAATTGAGGACTATAAGAAGGTGACACGCCGCAAGAGGGCAAAAAAGAACAAAGAACCGGAAAAAGTTACTGTCGAACCGCAACCGTCCTCCTCAGGCATACAGGCAGCACCACCTAAGAGAGCACCACTGAAGAAAACCCAGTCGAGCGAGGAAAAAATACCTCCCATTATATTAAAGGCAGAATTGGAACTAAAGACTATTCGCTACATACGGGAGACAACAAAAATAAATTTCCGATATCAGTTTATAAAAACGAATTTGCATAAAATCTTCACAGATTCAATTTCGGATCATGAAGACATCAAAAACATTCTGCGCGAATGTAACTACCCTTTTTATACTTACTCCATGCAGCAAAACTTGTGTAAAAAAATCACAATAACTGGGCTCCATCCATCAACATCTGAGGCAGAGATCTGCGAAGACTTGCAGCTGAAAGGAGCCAAAATTAAACAGGTGATTCAAATAAAAAGGAAACAACCAGATGGCAGTCAACATAAGCTGCCCATATACATAGTGGTAGTGGATAAAAATCAACACATGTCGGAGCTAAAACAAATTACGAATATTGGGGGACATATCTTCTCCTGGGAGGCCTATAGGCCGCAGAATAGAGCGCTGCAGTGCCACAAATGTTTGAACTTTGGTCACACATCGTACACCTGTGACCTAAAGTACAGGTGTATAAAGTGCCTCAATGTGCACGCGCCAGGAGCGTGCCAGAAACTACCACATGAGGCACCGATGTGTGTCAATTGCAAAAGCGAACACCCGGCAAATTATTCCAAATGCAGCGCTCTTACAAACTACAAGGAAAAGAAGGAAAGCGACGCTCTCAGGAGAAGACAAGCGTATAGACCAGCACCAACACCAGTGCCACTGACGAGGAGCTTCTCGTCAGTTGTAAACTCCACAAACAATGGTCCCAACGTCCGACCTGAATATCCTCAACTCCCTATCTCATCGTCACCATACAGATCAATAGTCCAGTCCTCACGAACAATGGTCCAGCCTGCACCATCATCATCACAGATCCGGCCTGCACTATCGCAACCACCAACACGGCCCGCCTGCAGCCAGCCCGATCCAGACCTCAACACTCCGGAAGGACTCTTTACTGCTATGGGCGAGGTTCGAAAGCTGTTTTCGGATCCCCAGGTAAAGCAAATTTTCAGTGAGCTATACAAACTGACAAAAACACTAAACACAAACATGACTTATAACGACAAATACACAACAATTTTGAACTTTCTTACATCATCACCATAAACCAATCGCAAGACTTACAAATAATGCATTTCAATTCTAATGGACTTAAAA